TTTTTTACTAATGCTGGAATTCATATAAATTAATAGATATATATTGAATGAAAATGAGAAATGACTGCTCCGAGGTGTGGTTAAGGAGAAGGTGTGGAGTAGCAGGGTGGGAGGGAGGGGTGGGGGGTGAGTTATAGGGAAGAAAAGGGAACATCAGATTCCCTTTGGGGCTAGAAGAGTGCACCTGTAGATCTGTTTTTCTGCAGTCTCTGAGTTGTAAATATAGATGGAGGTTGCTATGTTGGCCTCATGGAGGAGTTTCCCAGCTCTTAGCTACCTGCAGATGTTGTTAGTCCTATCCAGAGCTTCAGTTCACCTGAGGCTTCTAGGTCATTAACCTTCCATTCCAGACCCTGAGGACATATAAAAGGATGGAGGAAAGGTGTCCCTCTTTAATTTGGATTGCTGCTGCTGCCAAAGAATCGACTTGGTGCTGAAGGATATTGAGCTGTTCTGAAATTCCTTCAGTGTGTTCTGAGAGCTGGCTAGACAGAGAGGTTGACTGACCCAGGTGCCCTTGGCCCGGCAGTTTCAGTTGTAAGTCCTCCCCAAAACCCCCAGAGTGGCAAGAAGAGGGATGAGTTGGGTGGCTCATTTGTCCCTTTCAGAGGTCACCTGAACTGCTGGTAGGGGTTTTAGGGTACTTCAAACTGGCAGTAGGGGTGATGTAGAAAGGGCAGCAGTGCCTCAGAGGGCCAGTAAACCTTAGCAGATACTAAGATCCAGAACACAAGACAGTTGTTTGCAGATGCTAAGATCCAGAACACAAGACAGTTGTTTGCAGATGCTAAGATCCAGAACACAAGACAGTTGTTTGCAGATGCTAAGATCCAGAACACAAGACAGTTGTTTGCAGATGCTAAGATCCAGAACACAAGACAGTTGTTTGGGGATTGCATATCTTCTTTGAGTGTGCTGTATGAGGGAGATGGTATCTGTGACGCAACAAATGAGGTGGTTAGTACTATTTTAGTTCTTACTGAGAGTGTAGTTAAGAAAATATTTGGGGGGCTGGAGAGGTGGCTCAGAGGTTAAGAGCACTGACTGCTCTTCCAGAGGTCCTGGGTTCAATTCTCAGCAACCAAATGGTGGCTCACAACCATCCATAATGAGATCTGTTGCCCTCTCCTGGTGTTCAGACATACATAGAGGCAGGATGTTGTATTCATAATGAATAAATAAATCTTTAAAAAAAAGAAAAGAAAATATTTGGGGCCAGTTTTACCCTTATTGGAGTAAAAGTACAGGCAAGGAAAACATCTAAAGGACCTCAGGGGGCTTTGTCATAGGTTTTAGCGAGGTTGGTGATTTTGTCACTGCTGTCCATTACAAGATGTAAGGCCATTGGTTTGATGGAAGAGCTTAAGACATTTTTTTGTTGGCCAGCATAAGTTCAGAATCAGGCCATTGAGTCTCCTTTATTAAACCTGTGGGGAACACTAAGATACACAATTAATGAGCAAAAAGAGAAAGAGATACATGAGCCTGGTGTGAACTTTTTAAACCTCAAAGTCTATACCCAGCCTTCAACTCAGGAGCACTGGAAGAGTAGTAGCCAGTGTTCTTAACCTCTGAGCCATTTCTCCAGCACCAACATTTTTGTTTAGTAAGATAAAATGTAATTGTACAATGGCTAGACCATGGGCCAGAGCCCTGTAGTACAAGGGTAAGGTAACTGTCTGGTTTGTTACACCAGACTCCTGCATAAGTAAAAGCACCTTCATAGGAGAAGTCCATTAAAATCAGCATCTAATCGACATTTTAAAAGAGGCAGAATCCGCCGGGCGTTGGTGGCGCACGCCTTTAATCCCAGCACTCGGGAGGCAGAGGCAGGCGGATCTCTGTGAGTTCGAGGCCAGCCTGGTCTACAAGAGCAAGTTCCAGGACAGCCTCCAAAGCCACAGAGAAACCCTGTCTCGAAAAAAAACAAAAAAAAAAAAACAAAAAACAAAAAACACACAAACAAAAGAGGCAGACTCCTGTTGGGATGTTTCATAGGCTTGTCTAGCAAGGTCCTATGCACCTACTTGGTTATCCTGAATAATTCCCCAAGCCTGTGAGTTTGCTGACAGAGTATCTGGTGGCCTCCCTTAATCAGGTAACACGGGTACTTAGGGTGCAGAAGGCCACAGTACAGCTGTGGGAAGGACTCTTCAGTGCTCCATAGTTGGTACAGTACAGCTGTGGGAAGGACTCTTCAGTGCTCCATAGTTGGTAGACACAAGTTTTAGATTTGGTCTCAGTACTTAAGAAGATAGGCACATTTCCTCAGTTGTGGACAGACATCTAGATAAGGCACCAAGACCTTATCTTAAATCTGGGATGGACACACACACACACACACACACACACACACACACACACACACACACACACACACACACGTGTGTGTTTATCATATGGCTAACTATACTGTCTCAAGACTGAAGTCCCTTGAACTGTCAAAAAAACATACTGATCATTTTAATCTTGTTTATATTTCCTGCCTGGCGACTAAGACCTCATAAGTAGCCAAAATAAATCTTTTTTTACAAAGACAGTAGATCTGATCCTGAGGGGTCACTTGGGTGTAGGAAGAGCTCTTGAGTCTTTCTTTCTTTCTTTCTTTCTTTCTTTCTTTCTTTCTTTCTTTCTTTCTTTCTTTCTTTCTTTCTCTTTTTGTTTTTGTTTTTTTTTTCCGAGACAGGATTTTTCTGTACTGTTTTGGAGGCTGTCCTGGAACTTGCTCTGTAGACCAGGCTGGCCTCGAATTCGCAGAGATCCGCCTGCTTCCTTCCTTCCTTCCTTCCTTCCTTCCTTCCTTCCTTCCTTCCTTCCTTTCTTTTTTGTTTGTTTGGTTTTTTTTTTTTTTGGAGACAGGATTTTTCTGTACTGTTTTGGAGGCTGTTCTGGAACTTGACCAGGCTGGCCTCGAATTCGCAGAGATCCGCCTGCCTCTGTCTCCCAAGTGCTGGGATTAAAGACGTGCGCCACCAACGCCTGGCCCTCGAGTCTTTCTTTTACCAGTTGTCCAACTATGTGAGGGTGAGTCAGAGGTCTTGCTTGACCACTGTGTTATGTAGATGTGGATGAAATTTCTCTCGTGTTGATCCTCCTCTTTGTAGACTGAACACTGGCTAAAATGCACCAGATAGGGTCTCCATGGCCTCCTTGAAGAAGAGAACAGGTAAATCCTCATAGGTACAGAACATTTCAAGAAATGCTTCACAGTCCCCTGGGACCTAGTTGACCTTAGGAGGTAAGAAGGAAATATTCTCCTTTTCATCCCTCAGACCACATTAGCATGGGCCTCTGTGGTGGTTTGAGTGAGAATGGCTGCTGTAGGCTCATATGTTTGAATGACTGGTCCCCAGTCAGTGGAACTGTTTGGAAAAGATTAGGAGGTGTGGTCTTGTTGAAGGAGGTGTGTCACTGGGTATAGACTTTTAGGTTTAAAAAGTTCACACCAGGCTCATGTATCTCTTTCTCTTTCTACTGCCTGTAGATCAGATTGTAAAACTCTCTGTAGTTGGATTTTTGTTTTGTTTTGTTTTGCTTGTTTTTTACACTTTGGGTAGTCACCCTCCAGCTCCCAAATAAACACACAGAGACTTATTCTTACTTATGAATACCTGGCCTTAGTTTGCCTTTTTCTAGGCAGCTCTTCTTTTCTTTTTCTTTTGGTTTCTCTGCAGCTTTGGAATTTGTCCTGGAACTCACTCTATAGATCAGGCTGGCTTCAAACTCACAGAGATCCACCTGCCTCTGCCTCCCAAGTGCTGGGACTAAAGGTGTGTGCTACCACCACCTGGCTTAGACAGCTTTTCTTAATTTAAATTATCCTATCTATGTTTTGCCTCTGGGCTTTTACCTTTCTCTATTTCTGTATGTCTTTTCTTTCCTTCTTATACTGTGTCTGGCTGGGTGACTGGCCCCCAGCATCCTTCTCTCTTGCTCCTCTTTTTCTATTCTTCTCCTCCTATTTATACTCTCTGCCTTGCCTACCAGTCCTGTCTATCCTTTCTCCTGCTTTGCTATTGGCCGTTCAACTCTTTATTAGACCAATCAGGTATTTTAGGCAGGCAAAGTAACACAGCTCCCCAGAGTTAAACAAATGCAACATAAAAGAATGCAGCACATCTTTGCATCATTAAACAAATATTCCACAGCATAAATGACTGTAACACATCTTCAACTACTATTGCACAGCAGCTCTCAGCTATTGCTCGAGCCCTATGCCTGTCTGCTTCCCTCCATGATAATAATGGACTGACCCTCCGGAACTGTCTACAAGCCCTGTTAAATGCCCTCTTTTATAGTAGTTGCCTTGGTGACAGTGTCTCTTCACAGCAGTAGAACAGTGACTGAGATTAGCCTCCAGATATAGTTACTGAGTATCCAGAAGGTCATTTATGCAAATCTGGTGCTTTTAACTACTGTCTATTATTTTAAAAGTCAGACACTTGTAAATAAACTTCATAACTTGCAAAACATTTTTAGTTTTCTTCTCCAGTCTGAAAATATCCATCCATCCTAATCTTTGTATGGGACTGATCCAGAGTTTCTGTTGTTGTGATGAAACACCATGACCAAAAAGCAAGTTGGAGAAGAAAGTGTATTGGGCTTACACTTCTAGATTGTAGTCCAACACTGAAGGAAGCCAAATGGGGCAGGATACTGGAGGAGGCAGGCGCTATTGCAGAGGCTGTGTGGCTTGCTTCCCATGGCTTGTTCAGCCTGCTGTCTTTCCTCCTTTCTTCCTTCTTTCCTGTCTTTCTTCCCCCTCCCTTCCCTCCTTCCTTCTTTATTATTTTTTCTCATACGTTATCTGACTGCAGTTTCCCTTCCCTCCACTTCTCCCAGTCCTTCCCCCACATCCCTCTCCCCCAGATCCATTCCACCCCCCCAAAAAAAGCAGGCCTCCCAGGGATGTAATCCAGGACCATTCACCCAAGGACAGCTCACAACAGGCTGGGCCCTCCCACATCAAGTACTAATTAAGAAAATGCCTTACAGCTTTGCCTACAACCCTGACCTTAGGGAGGCTTTTTCTTCATTTAGGTTCCCTCCTCTCAGATGCCTTTCGCTTTTGTCAAGCTGATGTAAAACTATCCAGCACAGTATGTATAAATCTTTCTTTATTAAAACAAGTTTCATCTTTACATCCTTCTAATATTTTCTTTTATTTCTTAATACCATGAGACCTAATAGCATTAATAATGAATTTACTATCTGTTGTGAGAATTTTCCCCTTAAGGGAAGGGGAAACTAAGCAATGACTATCCCCTCCTTATAAGGTCCCCATGACAAACCAAAGTTGGATTTCATCAATCGCACCCTGGGGTTACTTACAGAGCATTGGTAAGGGGTTAGATGGGAATGCAGATAACCCAGAAGCAGTTACTTTAAACCACAAACCATGGCAAGCCCTGTTTTCTAGGAGATGGATACTAATGTATTTTTGTTTGCTTTTTAACATATGCCTAGCTAAACTAAGGACTTGAAAATCTGTTTGTTCATTTGTTTGTTTGTTTTTTGTTTGTTTGTTTGTTTGTTTTGTTTTTTTGAGACAGGGTTTCTCTGTAGTGTTTTAGAGGCTGTCCTGGAACTATGTCCATAGACCAGGCTGGCCTTGAACTCACAGAGATCCGCCTGCCTCTGCCTCCTGAGTGCTGGGATTAAAAGTGTGTGCCACCAACACCCGGCAGCTCATTTGTTTGTTTTTAAAGAGGCTGTACTGGTTAAAAATGTCTTTAAAATTCTTAAAATGTGTGTATTTATATGCACTCATTTTATATACAAAATATATTTAAGGCCAGGCGGTGGTGGCATACACCTTTAATATACCTATAATCATATAACTAAAATTGGGATAAGAATGAAGGGGATAGATAATATCTTGACCAGAATTGTAGCCTGACTTCAAAAGTCACCATGGCTTTTCACAGTCTCAATACTATTTCTAAGTCCAAAGTTCAAAATCTCTTTGAGACTCAAGGCAGTCTCTTAATTGCAACCCCCAAAGTTCAAAATCTCTCCGAGACTCAAGGCAGTCTCTTAATTGCAACCCCCTATAAAAGCAAAAAAGCAAATTACATGGTTCTAACCAACCCTGGAAAGTTGTCCTTTGATTCTGACAGGTGCTATTGCACACACATGCACACATATAAACACACACAATAAATAAATGTAATGCAAATTTGTCAAAATGTTGGAATAATTGAACATTTCAATGAGCTACTGATAGGAACACAGACTGATTCAGAGACCTGGAAGCCTCTTAAACAGTTTACACACCTGGGGAAACACTGTCAGTTTCCCTACTCCTTGTTATTCATCCTGGAGAAACAAAAACTGTTCACATTATTTTAAAAGTGTGTTCAAATGTGTCAGTGGCTTTATTCACAACTGCCAAGAAATAGAATCACTTGACTGTCCTTTAGCTATTAGTGGGTTAAAAACTGGATCTGCCCATACAAGGGAAGGGTTCAGCCATGAGACCAGAGGTCTTTGGTATACAGAGCATGGAGATGGATTGTAAATGCTTAGAAAGTTATGCATCAGGAAGGGAGCCAGGCTCCAAACGCAAACTTCCATAGGGTACTATAGTGTGAGAGAGTTTAGGGATGGAAAATAGAGCAATGGTTGCCAGGGGTGGGAGGGGAGGTCAAGAGCAAAGGGTGTGGGAGAATGCTTTGGGCTCAGTAACCCATTCCACATGGGTTGTGGCAGTGGTTACGGAACTATACATAGAACTGCAGGCTAAGGGCTCGCTGCGGCTCAGTGGCAGAGCACGCTACTGTTCACTCTAGAAAAACAAAAACCCTAGCACTGGCACATGCAAGGCTCTTGTCTCCACCCTCCAGTACCACACACATGCACATACACACACACACACAAATAGGAATATGCACACTCATAATAGTAAATCTTTTTTTTTAAATATGCATTTATTTTGTGTGTGAGTATGTGCATGCCACGACTCACATGTGTAGATCAGAGGACACCAACTCAGGTTGTCAAGCTTGATGGCAAATACTTATGCCTACTGAGCCATCTCAATGGCTCAAACTTGAAAAACATAGGTTTATATTTTTATTTTATGTTCATGAATGTTTTGATTGCATGTGTGCATACCACATTGGTGCCTGGTTCCTGCAGAGGTCAGACAAAAGTATTGACTCCCTTGGAAACGAAGTTACAGATGGTTGTGAGACACCCTGTGGACGATGAGAACTGCTGGGCGTTGGTGGCGCATGCCTTTAATCCCTTCACTTAGGAGGCAGAGGCAGGCGGATCTCTGTGAGTTCGAGACCAGCCTGGTCTAGAAGAACTAGTTTAGTTCTAGGGCAGCCTCCAAAGACACAGAGAAAATCCTGTCTCAACGCCCCCCCCCCAAAAATGACCCTTATAGGCTCATATATTTGAGTGCTTAGTCATCAGAGAGGGATTGTTGGAGGAAGTGTGTCACAGGGGGTGGGCTTTCAGGTTTCAAAAACCCAAACCAGGCCAGAGTCTCTCTCTTGGCCCAAGGATCAGGATATAGCTCTCAGGTACTGCTCCAGCGCCATACATGCCACTATGTTCCCCACTGTGATGATATGGACTAAAAGCCTTTGAAACTATAGGCAAGCCCCAATTAAATGCTTTCTTTTGTAAGAGCTGCCTCGGTCATGGGTTCTCTTCACAGCAATAGAACAGTGACTACTACATTACCTAATATGTTGATAATTTTTAAAGTGTGTGTGTGTGTGTTTAAGTGCAGTTATGTAGGTACATGTGTGCCACAGTGTGCATGTTAGAGGTCAGAAGATAAACTCAGCCATCAGTCTTTGCCTTCTATTTTGTTTGAAGCAGGGTCTGTCTTTTGTTGTTTGATGCTGTGTAGACCAGATTAGCCCGCCTTTAGATTTCCACCTTACCACAGGAGCCTTGGGGTAAAGGAAGCTCCTACCACTGCACCCAGATTTACGTGGATTTTGGGCATTCAAACTTAACGTTCATATATTCTGTGGAATGAACATTATCCACTGAGCTATCTCAGACCCTTGTTTTATGTTTTTTATACAGATCTTGCTAAGTAGTCCAAGCAAGCCTTGAATTCAATGTTATTGTTCTGTTGGAGCCTCCCACTTTGCCCTGCATGGTTCTGGAAGCCCCATTCCTGTCTCTCTCCAAACCCTACCCGCTCAGAGTCTTTGGACAAAGGAAAGGAGCTGAAAGCCCTGTTCCTCATTTTGGTGACTTCTTGCAGCTTCCTCCCCCCCCCCCCCCCGATGCTGCAAGCTGCCCAAGTCCCCCGCCTAAATGCTCAGCTTCTGACCAAACTTGGGCACCAACTTGTGATGGACATATCATCACCCCTCAACTACAATCTATACAATTTTCCTGCTCTGGCCTGGGTGCACAACTTCTCTGGCCTCGATCTCTGGGACCTGAGAACCCACCCAGAAATTGCTTTGCTCAGTTGCTGTACTTTTTCAAATGCACCTGATCCAGCTTACTGTATGGGCAGAGAAACTTATTATGCGGGGTTGGGGGAGGCAGAAAGAAAATCTATTAGCTGATTATATAATCTGCTTTCCTTGATGCTGTGACAAAATACTTGACATAACGACTTGAAGGAGGAAGGGTTTGTTTGTGCTACCGCCCATCATAGCAGAAGATGGCAGAAGGCGGCAGAAACACGAACTGGCTGATCCCATGGTCAGGAAGCAGCAGAGATGAGGGTTGGTGCTGCTTGCTCCTTTTCATTCGGTCTGAGGTTCCAGTCCTCGGCAACATTTAGTCTACATCTAGGGTGGGTCATCCCTGCTCAGTTAAAAATTTCTAGAGACAGACTCACTCGTGTTGATCTTAAAGCCAGATGAGTTGATAATAAAGGTTATCATCACAGTGATTCTCCTGCCCCCGCCTCTGTGGGCTCAGGTTACTGTGACACTGCTTTAGAGCAGGCTATGACCAGGGTGTCTGTGGCCCCAGGGACAGAAGGCTGAGATGATGGCCCAGTTCCAGCTTTGAGCCCAGGGCTGGTTGAAGGCCCTGGTACATAGGGTAGGGTGACTGGGACCCGTTTCCTTCCCAGAGGGAAATGGCTACTCATGTCCCTAGGGAAGCTGGACTCCTGGGAGAGGAGAGTGTCAGGGAAGAACCTAAATTCGGTGTCAGGGAGATGGCCTGAAGGAGGGTAGAGAGAGCAGCCCATACTCTGGAAGCCACCCGTGTAATGGTGACAACACAGCCATGCACCAGCTGGCCTCGATCGGACCTTGGCTGCACCTGACCCCGGTGGGAAGGGCTCCCCACAGTAACAGAAACTTCCCATGCTTAAGTGCTAGTGAAACAGGGCTGGTTTCTTGCTTCCAGAACAGTTAGGTCTGGGATGCTTATCTCTGGCCCACCTATTGTGTGTTGAGGTTGCAGAGTGCACTGCTGTCTTTTCATGAAGGAGGGGGTGCAGGGGCTGTGGGGACCCAGGCCTCATGAGAGCTCAGCAAACACCCTCTCTCTGAGCTGTACCTCTAAGGCATTCGTTCCTGCCTTTCCTAAGAGCTGTTTCCCTGCTTCAGGGTTTGAAATTCAAGGTACGATCCACTCTTTCAAACCCCTCTCTGTCCTCTCACTCTGCTGGAGCACCTGGGGAGCACATATTCGGCCCTGAGAACCTGGCTCTGACTGAGCCTCCCCCAGGTGGACCCCTGGATCCCCTCTAGGCACAGGCAGCAGCTCTCTTTTCTTCCACTGACCTGGGCTTGAAGCTGCCCAAGGGTGGGACCTCTCTCAAAATGTATGAAATACCATAGGGTTTGTTGTTCCAAAGAAAATGAAGCCTGATGCCAAAGCTTGAAGCCCTAGAGGCTAATAAACCATTTTCAGTGGATGGTTGGACACTGCTTGGGCCTCCAGAGTGACACTGAGGTGGGGGAAGGGTTATCTAGACACCGTGACATTCCCACTGCCTGACAAAAGACAGTCTTCTGATTCTTTGGTTCTTCCTTTGGGGGAGCTCCCCCAAGTCAAAATCCCTGATTGCACTGGGATCTTGCCAGTAACCCCTCCCTCCTATTGGCCTGGCTTATAGGAGAGGTCACCCTGACCCCTGCTCATTATCTTAGCTCAC